TTAATATTAGTGCTTCATTCTTCTGGGCGTTTTACATATCACTTTAATTCTCGAAATGTGTCTCTTCAATTTAACCTACTTCAAACCACAAAACAATTCTCATTTTCTCCCAGAAAACATTTAACTTCAATATTCACAAACCACACGATTTGAATATCCTAAATCTAATACTCTAATCATAAAAAAAACGTACACGACGTACACACTCAATGGTTGAGAGAACACTTCCTGAACGCTGAGTGTTCGAAAAACCGATGAACGCGAAATATAAAGGAACTTGAATGGCAGACTACACAGCGAAAGGCCCGCCGTAGAAAATCATTCTATTGTCACCGCGGAGGCTGTTATGAAACGCATTTTCTCGAACGGTGAGAAATCGATGTCAGAATATTGATAATGCTTTAGGTTCTTCTGGTTTCTCCGCTTTATCGGTCTTCCTAATGCTGTGTATGGTGGTCCTGTGCTAGTCTTTTCTATTTTTTTTTTCTCTCATTTTCTCATTTTATTATTTCTTTCTCATTCTATCGTTATTATTATTCTCATGTTATCATTATCCTTATTCAAATTTCATTCATTAATTCATTATTTTTCTTTCTCATTCCTGCATTGATATTTTTCTTGTCTCTCTTTTACCATGATTTTTTTTTCTTCCCTTAATTATCATTGTCTTTTATTGCCATTTCCCGTTCTGATTCCCTTTCCCTCTCTCCTTCCTAATTATCTCAATTTCCGCAATCATTCCGACGTATCAACAAAATTCTTTTTTTTTTAATATTATCGCCTCCTTCCCTTCCCGCTATCGCCAGCTCGTGCCCTTCGCCTTAACCAGGTACGAGATAAGGAGCTCCTTATCTGCTCCTCCTCGCTCGGGAGCAGGTCAAGGAGCTTGTCTGGAGATGGCGGGGGAGGGGGGAGGCTGAAGGCCACCCCAGGCGAGGTCAGATCGTCTGTAGTGCTATTGCCTTATACTTCACATAATTACCTTATACTTCAGAATACCTACCTATCGCAGTCTCGGATCAGTTTCCTAATACCACATGATACCACAGACCATAAAAAAGCTGCCTAATATGATGACTTACTTAATCCCAGGGGCTAATATTTCAGATCAAATACAATGTTCCATGCATACTAATTACATAATACTACTTCAAGGTAATTATCTAATATCATTTGCTAAATAATTATCCAATACCACTCCGTTCTAACTATCCAGTACCAGCTGCAGAATAGTTACCTAATATCAGAGTTGAGAAAGTACTGAATGGCATATCAGAGAGAGAAAGTTTACAATTGGTGTAAAACAGTTTGGCAAATTAGACTTTCACTATTCCTCTCCTCTCTCAGCCATAGTCACCTTTGAAAATGATAATATCAAATAAAGCTCATCATCAAAAAGAGGGAAAAAGTTAAAATTCGTGTACCTCCAGAAAGGCGTATCGCCAGGAACAGCCGAGGCTGCGATGAAGATAGCAATAAACAGACCAGAGGCGAAGCGGGTCGCGAGGAGACTCACCTGCGTCATCTTGTCGGAGCGACCCTCCCACGAGAGGCGCTCGTCGTACAGCGGCTCGAGGTGCGTGCCCACGTAGATGGGCTCCCAGTGGTGGAAGGGCGGGTGCCGCTTGGCCACCATAACCACGTTCACGGACTCGGTGGCGTTGGAGTCGGCCCACTCGCGCATGCCCGGCACCTTGTGGCACTGCGGGCACACGAACTTGTGGAAGGGGATGGCGGAGCCGCGCTTGAGCATGCGCACGAGGGCCAGTTTGGATGCGGGCGGCCGCAGCCCGCTCTTCACCTCGAAGATCGGCAGCACGTAGACCCTGCGCGTGGGCGCGGGCGTGGTCGAGGCGTCCTGCCGCTTGAGCATGTCCATGAAGAAGGGGATGAAGCCCCGGGAAGGGTACAGCTCCACATCGCTCGCCAGCACGAAGTACGTGGCAGCGGCGCGGCGGGCGATGTTGCGCGCCACGTTGACGGGGTACGTAAGGTTGTGTGCGCGCTTGTACGTGTGCGTGGCCAGATACGGCGGCGGCGTCGAGCAGGAAGTGCGCGCAGCGAGGACGTGCGCCGTGAGGGGCACGTGCGAGGGCATGTGCTCGGCGGGGAAGAAGAGGTGGAAGGTCACGTGGTCCGCCACCAGGCCGCGGCACGCCCGCAGGAAGGTGATGGTGGCCAGCGTGGCGTTGAAGTCCCCGCCGGGGGCGAAGACGGCGGCGCTGACGGGGCCGCGCCACCGCTCCACCAGCGGCACCAGGTTGTCCAGGAAGGTGAAGTCGGCGTGCGTCGTGTACGTGACGGACTCGTTGCACGCCGGCTGCGTGTCCGCTGGCACGTAGTTGTACAGCACCCAGTGGTCGCCGTGCAGGGCGGGCCGTGGCGCCAGCGTGGGCGTGTGGCACGTGTGCAGGTCGGGGTACACCTTCTCCTGCAGCGAGGGCGCGGGCGTGGCAGGGGGCGCGCGGCGGTCCTCGGACGACGCGGACGCCGACGCATAATAATAATAATAATAATAATAATAATAATATAATAATAATAATATAATAATAATAATAATATAATAATAATAATATAATAATAATAATATAATAATAATAATATAATAATAATAATAATATAATAATAATAATATAATAATAATAATAATAATAATAATAATAATAATAATAATAATAATATAATAATAATAATAATAATAATATAATAATAATAATAATATAATAATAATAATAATAATAATATAATAATAATAATAATATAATAATAATAATAATATAATAATAATAATAATAATAATAATAATAATAATAATATAATAATAATAATAATAATAATAATAATATAATAATAATAATATAATAATAATAATAATAATAATATAATAATAATAATAATAATAATAATAATAATAATAATAATATAATAATAATAATAATAATAATATAATAATAATAATATAATAATAATAATATAATAATAATAATATAATAATAATAATATAATAATAATAATAATAATATAATAATAATAATATAATAATAATAATATAATAATAATAATAATAATAATAATAATAATAATATAATAATAATAATAATATAATAATAATAATAATATAATAATAATAATATAATAATAATAATATAATAATAATAATAATAATATAATAATAATAATATAATAATAATAATATAATAATAATAATATAATAATAATAATAATAATAATATAATAATAATAATAATATAATAATAATAATAATAATATAATAATAATAATAATAATATAATAATAATAATAATATAATAATAATAATAATATAATAATAATAATATAATAATAATAATATAATAATAATAATATAATAATAATAATAATATAATAATAATAATAATATAATAATAATAATATAATAATAATAATATAATAATAATAATATAATAATAATAATAATATAATAATAATAATAATAATATAATAATAATAATAATAATATAATAATAATAATATAATAATAATAATATAATAATAATAATATAATAATAATAATAATAATAATAATAATAATAATAATAATAATAATATAATAATAATAATAATAATAATATAATAATAATAATAATATAATAATAATAATATAATAATAATAATATAATAATAATAATAATAATATAATAATAATAATAATAATAATAATAATAATATAATAATAATAATATAATAATAATAATAATAATATAATAATAATAATAATAATATAATAATAATAATAATAATAATAATAATAATATAATAATAATAATAATAATATAATAATAATAATAATATAATAATAATAATATAATAATAATAATAATAATAATAATAATAATAATAATAATAATAATATAATAATAATAATAATAATAATATAATAATAATAATATAATAATAATAATAATAATAATAATAATAATAATAATAATATAATAATAATAATAATAATAATATAATAATAATAATAATAATAATAATAATATAATAATAATAATATAATAATAATAATAATAATATAATAATAATAATATAATAATAATAATAATAATATAATAATAATAATAATATAATAATAATAATAATAATAATAATATAATAATAATAATAATAATATAATAATAATAATAATAATAATAATATAATAATAATAATAATAATAATATAATAATAATAATAATAATAATAATAATAATAATAATAATAATAATAATAATAATAATAATAATGATAATAATAATGATAATGATTAATAATGATAATTAAAACAACAACAATAATAGTAATAACGATAACAATAATCATGATGTGGATGATAACAACAGTAATGATAAAAATAATAGTAATAAAAATAATGATAATAATAATAATGATAATAATAATAATGATAATAATAATAATGATAATAATAATAATAATAATGGTAATAATAATGATAGTAATAACAAAAATAATGATAATAATTATAAGAATGATAATAATAGTAATGATAATAATAAAGATAACAACAAAAATAATGGTGAAAATAATAGTAATAATTATAAAAATAATAATAATAATAATAATAATAATAATAATAATAATAATGATAATAATGGTAATAATAATAATAATAATAATAAAGATAATAATATTGATATTAATAATAATAATTTTAAAAAATAATAACAACAATAATGATAATAACACAAATAATGGTATTAATAATAATGATAAAAACAAGGATAATAGTGAATTTGCTGATGTCGGTGATTAGGGGAAATATTATTATCACCATAAGAATAACAATAACAGCAACACTAATCACAAGCTTCCTTTGAAAAAGTGAGGCGATGATTATGCCAACATCACTAAAAGCAATAATCTCTAATCTAAGCAGAATATACAAAGAAAGCAGTAGCATTTTTTAACACTTAATTTGTGTGGAATATGTGATGAAATGAAAATATTTTGAGTAAGTGAAA